CGGGATATTACGTTTGCGCTGCGAGTTGAGCCGATTTATCATTTTCACGTGATCTCAATGGAGTTCAGAAGCAATTCTGTCGTGGCAGTTTTGGTATTCGATGTGAATATGGAAGAGAAGCAGGTCTTTGCGTTTTTTCGCTGCAACGGGCGATGAGGCTGTGCAATGCGAGAAAAAAGAAACAAAGGTGTGGGGGTCATGTTTGCTTACTTGTGTGACAAGAAACGCTGATTGTTTTGCTGGTCTGCGTGGGCAATGGTTATGGGCCCAGTGTCTCAGCTTACTTGTGAGCTCACTTACTTTTGCAAGAAAGATATTGTGCAACGCGGGGACTTTTGTGAAGTGGATACTTGTGACGTTTGCGATGGATGTGGAGCTTTTACTTGTGAAGCAGCCGCCCATTTTTTACTTGTGAAGCAACCGCCTCGCTGTTACTTGTGAAGCAACCGCCTCGCTTTTACTTGTGAAGCAGCCGCCCATTTTTTACTTGTGAAGCAGCCGCCTCTCTTTTACTTGTGAAGCAGCCGCCTCGCTTGCCAACCCCTTCGGTCGTGACACCGGTGTTGCTTGCACAATGTTTGCCTGACGTTTTACTTGCGAGGTCTGGTGACTTGGCCATGACCACTATTAGACTATAGGGCCCCACAGAAAGCGAAAGTTACTTGTAAATGGACGTTTACTTGTGTGGATTGTGCGCTTTACTTGTGTGCGTTGTGCGAAGATTTCCACATCCGCGCCGGCCTTGTTTGCACAAAATGCATCTAGAGAGGGCGTGCAGCTAAGCCACAGACACAGGTAAACTATAGCGTCAAGAAACCCAATACCCGGTAAACCTATCAATGCCAGGCACAGGTAAACCATTGCCCAGGCATCCAACTCCATTTCAGCCAATCACAGGCAACCCAATCTCAAGTAAACCAAACTCACAAACTCCAAACCCAGTGCAACCAAGAAGAAGCATATACAAGGAATCTAACCAATTGCCTGAAATCTAATCCCAGACTGTGAGGATCCGCAAGTAAAGGAAGAGCAAGCAAACCAACCAGAAGAACTCTTATCTCAGGTAAACACGTGGCAGCTGCATCAACCTCAAGTACACCACAACCTCAACAAACCAGTTCCACCACATGACAAGCAACCCACAATCCGCCAACTGACCCACCCATTAGTACAGCACAACCTAAGCTGCCGATCAGGTCACGTGTCAACATGGCTTCCGATGACCGCTTCAGGCTCTACGTCCGGAACGTGCGGAACTCGTTGGGGAAGTGGACCATCCGGGCGGCGCTGGAGAGCATGGGCTGCTACAACCTGGTGACCATCCAGACGTGCAGGAGGCGCTGGAGCGACAGCCGCAGCGAGGGGGAGCACATGAGCATGTTTCTCTCCTTCGGGGATGCGCCTTGGCAGAAGTGCTTGTCGCTGACGGGGTTCGCGTTTGCAGATTGGTGTTCACCAGGCATGCGTTTTGAAGCACATTGAAACGTAGATGCCTTTTTTAAAGCAAGAACTCTCGTAATTCGAGGTGTTTTTACTTGCGATTACTTGCGACTTACGTGGTGATAGACTTTTTTCTTGAGAAACTTGATGGACTTGGCATTGAAAATCATTTGAATTCTTTGCAGGAGCAGAGCATGAACGATGGCATCTCCTGCATTTGCGCGAATCCGTATCAGGAGCAACTTAGCAGCAGTGGCCGGCCGTTGGAGCCGTCGATAGCGCTGCCGCCCCCGGCTCGTGGACGAGATGTGGCGCCTTTACCTGTGCCGCTGGCACCCTCTGCTTTACCTGCGCCCTTGCCACCGCCAGCACCACCGACTCACGGTGTCACTGGTACTACGACCAAGTCGGCGCCGCCCAAGGTGTCGTGCCAGCAACAAGTGCGTTCTTATCATTGTTCAACCCAAACAACAGTTGCCACTGATGGGACAGGAAGGCTTTTTCTGGGCAATTGCGATCTGCTTACTCTGAGATAGCGCTTGTCTTTTTTTTCGCGACCAACACTTGGGTGTGACAGGTTCTCACTTTACCTGTGCTACTTCAGCAGCATTACTTGCGGCGAGCCTGACAACTGAGGCACCTCCTTGGGCTGGGCCGCAGCCGCCTCCTCCGCCCCCTCGGGGGCATTTGCTTGGCGCGGCTGATGGCGATGGCGAGGACAGCTTGGAGGACGAAGAGATTGGCCGCGCTCTTCAAGATGCTCTTGGCGGGCATGATGGCTACGCGAGCCCTGTGAGCTCAAATGTGAGCGAGGACTCTGAGATGGAGTCGGTGGTGGTGGATGAGGAGAAGGAACAGGAGGACTCTGAGATGGAGTCGGTGGTGGTGGATGAGGAGAAGGAACAGGAGGACTCTGAGATGGAGTCGGTGGTGGTGGATGAGGAGAAGGGACAGGAGGTTGATCCGGAAAAGGATGAACAGGTAGTGGATGAGGAGACGAAGCAGGAGGATCAGGAGAAGGAGAAGGTTGATGAGGAGAAGGAGGCGGGTGCGGGCAGCGGCGTGGTTGTCAAGGAGGAGTCGCCAGCCAGTGCTCCAGCCCGTTCGCATCGTTCGCGGTCACGCCGAAGGCGGCGCCGCTCGGGGACGCCTAGGAGCCGGAGCCGAAGAAGGCGGAGGCGACGAAGCTCATCCCGGGATAGTGGGATCACCTTTCTTCTGGGCGAGCTTGGCAGACAGATGCTCCGCGCCAGACGCTGACAAAAAGAGCGAGAGATGAGAGCATGAGAAGAGTCCACTTGAGAGCCGGTTACTTGTGATGAGAGCACGAGAGATGAGAGCATGAGAAGAGTCCGATTACTTGTGATGAGAGCACGAGAGATGAGAGCATGAGAAAAGTCCACTTGAGAGCCGATTACTTGTGATGCGTGTCTGCTGATTCCTTGAAATTCTCCTTCTCAAAGTACATGAAAAACTACGCCCACAAACGTCCACCAAAGGCGACTGGGAGGATGTTTCAACTTGAAGCCCAAACGCTCTCACAAAAGTCACGCAACCACTCAACAGTTGAGCCATTTTTTTGTGACTAGTCGAGGCCACTTATACTTTTTTTGCACATTTCCAGCTCCTGACCACTGAGCCCCTCCTTGTCACTTGGGGAATTGTGCTACAACGCGCCAGCAATTTTGGGCAGTTCCCTCATGCAGAATCGCAGTTCGTTGGGCAAACCACCTAAAATTAATGATGTGCGGGGTGCCCAATGGTGATGCAATGCTGGTACATTGTTGGTGCAATGTTGGTGCAATGTTGGTGCAATGTTGGTGCAATGTTGGTGCAGTTTTTACAACTGCACCAAAACTGCACCAACATTGCACCAAAATGGTGCAGTTTTGGTGCAGTTTCAAAAACTGCACCAACATTGCACCAACATTGCACCAACATTGCACCAACATTGCACCAACATTGCACCAACATTGCACCAGCATTGCACCACCATTGCATCACCATTGCACCACCATTGTCAACATGCCTGCCTCAAATATTTGGTCAGACAAGGCTCATCTCAGTCATGTGCTTCAGCAATTCCTGGAACCCACAGCAATGCCAGTATTAAGGTGCTAGGAGTCCGGCTAGCTGCAGCCTGTGCGAATGCATGAAAGGTTTGCCCAAATTTTGCTGTTCGAAATCTATGTTGGCCTCCTAAGCTCACACTGCTTTCCAGTACCCAGCATTCTCAAACCAAGGTGTGTGCTACTTGTTTAAAAGCCACAGCCCATGTTTTTCAGCTTCTGCAGCCTGCAAACCTTGTTCTCAAGTAAATATTTCAGGAAAGTGCATGCCGGGCTTTCTCCGCATGTTCATCGCTTCCACGGTTTGAGCAGGTGAGTCACGCTCTGACCAAAACATACGGCTAACATTTGCACGGATCACAAGTAACATTTGCACAGGTCACAAGTAGCATTGGCACAGGTCACAAGTAACATTTGCACAGGTCACAAGTAACATTTGCACAGGTCACAAGTAGCATTTGCACAGGTCACAAGTAACCTTTGCACAGGTCACAAGTAACATTTGCACAGGTCACAAGTAACATTGATCACAGGTCACAAGTAACATTTGCACAGGTCATAAGAAACAATTGCACAGGTCACAGGTATAACATTTGCACAGGTCACAAGTAACATTTGCACAGGTCACAAGTAACATTTGCACAGGTCACAAGTAACATTTGCACAGGTCACAAGTAACCTTTGCACAGGTCACAAGTAACATTTGCACAGGTCACAAGTAACATTTGCACAGGTCACAAGTAACATTTGCACAGGTCACAAGTAGCTCTTGCACAGGTCACAAGTAACATTTGCACAGGTCACAAGTAACATTTGCACAGGTCATAAGAAACAATTGCACAGGTCACAAGTAACATTTGCACAGCTCACAGCAAAGCACCCCAGTCACAAGTAAACTACCGGCTGGTCCACCAGTCTCAAAGAAGCTTTATGTTCTGGCCCTGGGATGGTTCCATTTGGAGACTGCGTGTTGGCACTGGGTAGTTCACTCATCATGGTTTACTTGCGGCACTTAACATTTGATTTGCAACGCCCTTAAAGACAGATGTGTGGTTCATGCTCACTTCAATATGGAGTCCAGCATCATGGTCACAGTAATTCTTGTGGATGCGTGTCGCAAGTAATCTCTTTACATGTGAAACCAGTAGATCACAAGTAAAGGTTTTCACAAGTGGACATGTGTACAGCTACATTGTTGCTCAAGTTGGGGTTGCAACTCAAAGATTGGTCGATCATGATAGGTGTCTTCCCAGGTAACGACTTCACACGTAAAACAAAGGAGCCGCCTTCACACGTAAAACAAAGGAGCCGCCATGGTATTTATCTCCTGCGCCTTCGTGCCAACTTCTCCAAAGATCCAATCAGCTCGTCCAGGTCACAGCTGCTGCTGCTTGTAGATCTGCGCCTCCTCCTCCTCCTAGGTGAGCGGCTCCTTGAACCTGACCTCGACTTGCTCGAAGTTGAGTGATTGCTCGTAGGTGAACACACATCCTGATAATCGTCGTACTCCGCGACCTTATCCTCTTCGGCCTCTTCCTTGGTCTCCGACTCCAAAAGGTGCTGCTGCAGATTCTCATCATCGTACTCCGACTCCACATCTTCAACGACCTGATAAGGATCATCTGTAGCCGCTACCCCAAAATGCGGGTCTCTGGGCGGGGGAGGCGGAGGCTGTGGAAACGTCCACGGCGGAGGTGGCGGGACAGGTGGTGGCCTGGGTGCCTCAGGTAAGTTGGTCAGGCGCATAAAAAACCGCAAGTAATCTTGTCTGATCTTCGCTTCGTCCGTCGTTGCAACACGCGAGCACAGGTAAGTTAGTGGAATACGTTTGAAACAACTGTTCAAACCCACAAAGGTCCACAAGTAAAAGTACTCGAAGTAAGGCGCCTCCTTTCAAAACCCAAGTAAGCTGTGGTTTCTCTGCAACGACAGTGACCTAAGCAATCCACATGACCTGCAGTCGTGGTGCCGGTGGCGCCGGCGGCGCATGCTTGCTTGTCGCAGCCCAGTACGCTGGCCTAGATGCTGATGCCGATGATGGCGGCCTAGCGATGCTGGGCTGCAGTGGGTTGCCGCTGCTGGACAGCACCGGGTGGTTGGGGTTGGCCATGATGCAGCTGATCGCGTCGTTCATCGCAGTCTCCTCAGTTGCAACCCCAAGGATTCCCGCACAAAGCAAATCACGTGACTAGTGTTGTATGCCTTTCCACTCCCACTCCACTCCACACACATCGTAATTGATGGGTAGAGCGCAAGCTTAAAAAAAGGGAACCGATGCATAAACAAAACATCATACAATGTGTGAGCCATGGATCATCTGTGTATGATAAGAACACGCTCATATGTTCTCCTTCTGAACGATGGTCATCGTGCCTTCTGCGGCAAACCTGAATTTGCGTCAAACCATAAACTCCTATGGCATGAAGGGCATTCCGGATCTCCCATTTGTCCAGGCTGTTTCGGATGTTGCGCACGTATAGCCTGAACTGAAGTGAAACATCCATGGCAGGGCAGGGTTGGTGCGAATCGAGATGCCGTTTTTCATGTGTCTCATGTAATCGATACTGAAATGCGTTTTCTCAGCTGAAATGTTATTGCTTTGCATGCTACCCTGGCTACCCTACGCTCTCGTTTGGAAGTTGCCAACGTGTCTGAGCCTTACCCAAGTAATCTTGAGCTTGCCATGCGCCACATGCGTCCCACAAGTAAATTCAGTCGCTCACAAGTAAAGAGGGTTGCGCGCCAGCACACTTCAATCACATGTCTCCTACAGGACAGGCAACCAGAAGCGTACAAAAAACCAAAGATGAATATGCCGACAAGTCTTCGGATCGCAAGTAAGTGCACCAGCTCAAAAGTATATCTGTGATACGTGAAGTCGATCGTAAAAGCAGGAGATGTCATCTCAGGTCACATGAAAGTAAAATCTGTGACATGGGAACGGGAGCGCAAGTAAATCTGTGACGTGGGATTCGCATGTAAAAGCGCAAGAAGTCCTCAAGAGTCACAAGTACGGCAGCGCAAGCTGCGCTGTCAGTTGCAGGAGTACTACGAGACCTCTGGCAAGAAAATGCATTTGTCGCTTGCATTCCCTGTGGTTGGCAAGGTACATTCACCCAAACATCGTTTGGTGTTACCAGGGCGAGGCGACAATGCAGCGGCTCCAGAAGCTGCGGAATGAAAACGAAGCCCCAGTTTCACCGAGAGAACGGCTGGCGCCGGCGCTTCGAGGGAACACCGCGTGAGTTGCAAGGATTTCGTTGCTTGAGAATTGAACGGGCTGCTTCGCGAAACAAATGACCAATTACTTGCGGGGCAACCTCCGTGTGTGACAAATTACTTGCGGGGCAACCTCCGTGTGACTTGTGCTTGCCGGTGCCTTATGGGTTTTACACAGATTTTTTACTTGTGACATGTGCAGTGTAGGTTAGACTTGCAGATATTGGTGCTTGTACTTGCAAAGCAGGAGGCCTGACTCAGGACCATCCAGCGTGCTCGTTCTTACTTGTGAAGTGGGAAGCTGAACTTTTTTTGCCGCTGACATGCATGTTCCCATGCACTCCCTCCATTGGTTTCTTCTTATTTTGTGGCGTTTTGGCTGTGTTTTTCTGGTCCCGCGCAAATTTACTAATTTTGCATTACTAGTAAATTTTACTAGTAAATTCTTCGATTTTAGTAAATTTACTAAAATAGTAAATTTACTACTTTTGCAGACTCAGGGTAGGGCAGCAGGGCCGCGGCGATCTGGCTGCCGGTGAAGCCGTCTTGCTCCGGCCCCGTCCTGTAGGCCAGCAGCGCGCCGGCTATGGCCGCCTGCGTCTGGGTCCTGGGCCGCCGCGGTGCGGTAGCTGCCGAGCAGGGCGTCCACCTCCGCCGAGGTGTAGTGGGCGGCCAGCGCCGTGGCGAGGGCGGCCGCGATGGCGCCGGCCGTCTCGGCGTCTTGGAGGGCTGCGGTGCGGTAGCTGCCCAGCAGGGTGTCCACCTCCGCCGAGGTGTAGTAGGAGGCCAGGGCCGTGGCCAGGGCGGCCGCGACGGCGCTTGCCGTCTCTGCGTCCTGCAGGGCGGCGGTGCGGTAATCGCCGAGCAGCAAGTCCACCTGAGCCGAGGTGTAATATGCCGCCAGGGCTGCTGCGAGCGCAGCCGCCGTGGCCGCGTCGGCCGCTGCCGTGGAGTAGCAGTCGGCTGCGATGCTCAGGGTGTTGTCGCTGTTCACCAGGCTAGCCAAAAGAGGCGTCGCAAAATGGAGGTTTCTGATGACGCTGCTGCCTTGCAGGAGCTCCCAGGTAGTCTGTCCCTCCCAGGCCGGCGCATTACCGACTCCGCCTCCAGCGGATTGAAGGGCGGCGAGCTCAGCCAGGATGGCGTCGAGGCTTGCTTGTAGGGTGGTCTCGCTGGCCGAGAGGGCCGCGTTGGTGGCGTAGCTCGCGAGCAGGCTGGCGTCTGCCTTGGAGGCCTGCAGGCCGGCGAGGGTTGCGTCGCGGACCGCGAGCTCCGCATCCAGGTAGGCCAGCGCGGCGTAGGGCAGCAAAGCGTTCGCGAGGGCATTGGCGATTTTTCCGTCTACGGCCGCTGAGTTGTCGTAGGACGCCAGGGCGCTCGAGTCCGCTTTTCCCGCAATCGCGGCGTCCCTGGAGGCGAGCTCGATGGCCAGCGCCGCTGCCGTGACGTAGGCCAGCAGGGCGTTGGCGATCTTGGTGTCGACCTCCAGCGGCGTGATCCTGGCCGCTATGTCCAGCGCGTGCTGGTCGACCACCGTCTTCAGGGCGTAGGTGGCCGCGACGCTCGCCAGGGTGGCGTTGTTGGCGGAGGCGATGGCCCCGTTCGTGGCCGCGGTGGTGCTGTAGTTGGCCAGCTTCAGGTCCACGCTGTCGGGCGTGCTCTTCGTGGCCACGATGCCCTCGAGCACGTCGAAGGCCGACTGGTCGCACTTGCCGGCCAGCCCCGTGGTGAGGCTGCTCTGCAGGGCCGCGATGCTGCTGCCGTGGGCCGCCGCCTGGCCGTCCGTGGTGGCCAGGGCCGTGGCGGTGGTGTAGGGGGCCAGGGCCAGCGTGAGGGCACTGCTGTCCAGCTTGAGCGCCAGCTCCGCGGTCACCCTGTCGTCCAGGCTCTGGATGCCTGTTGCGTTGGCGCTGATGCCTGCCGTGTTGCTCCCGATGGCTGCTGTGTTGGTGGCCAGCTCCGTGACCTGGGCAGGGAGTGAGGGCCAGAGCCAGCTGTCCCGCTGTGATGTAGCTCCCCTCCGTAACCTGCCCGTTGTTGAGGATCTCTGGGATGTTCCCGGTGACCGGTCCTTCGAACATCTTGCCCTTTACCTAGTTCTCGCCGACGCCGTTGGCCCGATGGTCAAGCGGCGGCGAGCAAATTTCTCGGTTCTTGCCTCGCGGCGGCTCGATTCCTGTCGCGACCGGAGTTGAGTACCATATGGTGTCTTTCTAGTCCAGCACCGAAACCCCCGTCCCGGGAGAGAGTGACCAGCTGGTGGCCGTGGCCGCGCCGTCCAGGCCCTTGAAGCTGAAGCGGGCGAGATCGCCGGAGCGGGTGGAGACGCCGCTCAGGGGCATCTTGGGCACTCTCTCCGTCGGGAAGCCGGCCACGAAGCTGCCTCGCAGGTCGGCGTTGCGGCTGATGTCTATGTTCCGGACCGTGTCGTCGTAGGTGCCCGCAAGGACCGAGAGGAAGTGGAAGTGCTCGGAGGCGCCCTTCATGCTGTTGTGAGGGTACTGAAGGGATCCCAGCTGCATCTGCGATTCCAGGAGCGAGTCCTCGACGCGCGCCGCTCCGATGTGGGCGTAGTCAGTGCCGGGGTTCATCAGCAACCCCACCCTCGAGCCTGCGTCGTCGTCCCAGAAGGTGACGAAGGCACCCATGAGCTTGGTGAAGGCTCTGGCCACCGTGACGTTGTGCTCGGCCACGCCTGTGGGAACGGAGGACTGCTGCGTGTGGACCGTCGGGTAGCTGAAGACCAGCGACCTACCGGAGAGCAGCACCCTGTTGAAGGACTCCACGAGCGCCGAGTCGAGGACCACCTGGGAGGCCAGCACCCTGATGTTCTGGATCTCGAAGGTCGTGGACAGGTCGCCGCCTGCCGGGTGGGCGCTGGCGTTGGGGGACCACAGCGCCGTCTCAGCATCGGCAAACTTGATCTCCAACACCAGGTTCAATTGGGGCGGCAGCATCTTGCCGCAGCGCAGCAGGCCCACCATCGTAGGTCGCAGCAGCACGTCGATGTGCTCGCCCTGGTGGATGGCCTTGGGCACCAGCCTGCCGTTGTCATCGATCTCGTCGAAGCCTTCCAGGGACTTGTTGGCGTTGTACTTGCGGCCCTTCAGCAGGTCGTGGACCGCCACCGTCCTGCCATAGTAGTTGATGTCATCGCACCGCTGGCCGTTGGCGAAGACCTGGACCCGCTGGATGAAGCACGCCGGATTCGAGGTGGCCGGCGCCAGCGGGTTGGTGCCGTGGGTGTTCACCACGCGGAAAGCGATTTTCAGGCTTTCCGGGTCGATGAAGGAGGCGCCGCTGGTGAGCGGGATGCGGCAGACCCTGGAGGTGGTCGGCGAGAAAGAGCTCAGGGAGCTGGGGAAATACTGCACGTTGTGGCGTGCGGTGACGTAGCTGGTGTTGCTCGTCTTGAGCTTGTAGTCCAGGCTCTGCATGAGCTCATCCTGCGCGCCCGCGGTGACTACCTCCATCTTGTTGCGTTGCCTTTACCTGTACAGCGC